AACGTGGAGCCAAGCGAAATAAGGTAGCTGACATATGATGCTATTTAGTCATATCTCCCTTATTTGGGTGGATTTCGGGTTTCCACAGCAGGTCAAACAGCTAACATTTATTGAATATTCATTTGTTCCAGGTACTGAGCTGCATGCCTGACATGCATAAAATCTTTTGATCTTTACCATCAGTTTGTGAGGTCGATATTATTATCTTCATTTTACATAAGAATCTAAGGTGGGGGAGGTTAAGTAACTTGCAACTAACAGGTGGCATAACCTAGATTCAAATCAACACCCTTAGCCACTGTAACATGCTGCCTCTAAAGATAGAAACATTTGGCTGCATTTTACAAATCTTTAAAAATTGCTAAAACCAGAATAATAAAATGCACATGTAATTGTCAAAAGGAGAAAACAGCATACAAGGTATGTCAAGTGATTAATGAAAAGTGTTCCTACAAATTGATAAAATGATGATCATCTCAATAAAATAATGATCAAAGGTTTCTGGGGCCAGATAAATCTGGAAATTTCTGCTTACTTTTCCATGTTCTTGTACCCCCATGATGTATATGTCCAAAAGTATGCCTCTGAGAAGTTCTGCACTAAAAACTTACTTTAACATGGAGTTTTCCAAACCTATATGATGAAAACAGACATGAGCATCTTGAATAATTATAATTCTCTGGAACATACTTTGAAACCTGTGGAACCCTATTATCACCATGGCTACCTCTGGTTTCTAGTCTGGTAAAAACTTCCAAGAAAGGAAATGAAGTTTTTTTTCCTAGGGTTTCTCAACTTTGATATTACAGTCATCTCTTCTAATCTGTGGTTTCAGTTACCCATGGTCAACTATGATCCAAAAAAATTAAATGAAAAATCCAGAAATAAGCAATTCACAGGTTTTCAGTTGCACACCGTTCGGAGTAGGGTGATGAAATCTTGCGCCATCCCTCTCTGTTTTGGCCTGTCATGAACCACCTCCCTGTCCAGCAACTCCACACAGTATACGCTCCCCGCCAGTGAGTCACTTCATAGCTGACTCGGTTACCAGATCCACTGCCACAGAATGCTCAAGGAACCTTTATTTTACTTAAGAATGGCCTCCAAGTGCAAGGGTACTGTGCCTAACTTAAACTTCATCATAAATACATACAGGAAGAAAATACATATATAGGGTTCAGTATTATCTGCAGTTTCAGGCATCCATTGAAGGAGGTCTTGGAATGGACTCCCTACAGATGATAAGGGGAAAACCACTGTTGTGACATTTTAGGTGTATAAATATTTGTCGTGGGAAGCTATATGTATTGAGGGATGTTTGGCCCCATCCCTGGCCCCTGCCTGGTGGATGCCATTAACGTCACCTCTCCCATCAAATCCTAACAACTAAGATTGCCTCTATACATGTCCACCCACCAGCGACGTGTCCCCATGGTTACAACCCACCAGTCTAAGCACTCCCCAAACTGCACATTTTCCCACTGTATTTTGGTTTCGGTGCCTCGTGACATCTGCAACTCATCCTTTTAATACAAGGGGGCATTGGTCCACTTCTCGCCTTCTGGTCTCCCTGTTTGTTAGGATTCTTTCAGTCTCCAGCCACACCCAGCCACACGCAGCTTCTCTGACGCCCCAGGTGGTTTCTCATCAGTTGATTTGGCTCCTCTCCCAGCATGCTCTTCATCACAAGCCCACTGAGGGCCGTCTACTTGTCTTTCCAAATCAAGCCTCAAACCTCCTGGGATATCCTTGCCATTTAGGTGGAATTAAACTCCTTCCTCTAAGCCTCACACCCTCTGCACAGCTTCTAGCAGGCCCCCAACAACACATTGTGCTTACTTATTTATGATACTATCTCCCCAATTCCTTAAGGGCATGGACTGGGTCCTTTTGAGCCTCTGCTTCTCAGCATAGAGCAGGCACCCACCAACACATAAGAACAAAGGAGCAGCATATGATGGAGGATGGGTCCGTGGTTGCATCCATGGAGCTCGGGGTAGATTTCAGGCACTGCTAAGTTCACTGACAGCCTCCTGGCCAGCTCTCTTCTAGGCCTGCTCTCCCTGCTTGTTTTTGGACAGACAATCTCCATTCTCAAGAGCAGGTGCAAGTACCACAGGAGGGACCAGTTTTGTTTCTCTCTCTGTAAGCCATGAGCATGACATCATTTGCTCAGTCAACTTGTCGAGATCGTTCTGGCAAGTCTTCTCATTCCAAACACGAGAAAAGTCCTTTATCCTTGATCTCAGCATTTTTGCAATGTCAGTTTATTCCTTACTGTGTCTTTTTAGTTTTTAATCTTTGGAGGTGTGCTCTCCTTCTGTATTTTGGGAGTCCCTTTTGGGTCTGAGCTTCTCAGAGACACCCCCTACCTGAGCCTTGCATCGGTCTTTTTAAGTTTTTCTTTCTTTTAACTTCATATGTGAGATTATTTTATGCTTTAGGGACAAAATTTAATTCTTGGGCATGCTCTGATTTTACCAGAACTGTTTATGATGGTGACAGTGGGTGGAGAGAAAGGGACAGGTTAAAGAAACATTAGCAAGGGGCAATTGACAGTACTTGGTGGGCATTTGGACACGGAGGAGGGGGAGATGGTGCCCACATTTCTGCTTTGAAGCAACTGAGTGACTGGTGGTTTCTGCCACTGAGATGGAAGTCTTAGGAGGAGGAGGAGGAGGAAGGAGAGCAGGCTGTCTGGGAAGATAAAGGGTCTGGGATGTTTAGCATCTGAGGTTTCCATGGGAGACAGGGTAACTGGATACAAGTGCCCCAGGCTCTGGAGAGGAAGTGCGACTATCAGCTGGTGAATGGCCTCTGAAGCTGAGGGAAGCTGAGGGAGTTGACTAATACTGTGGATGGAATAGCCGCGGTTAGGGACAGCGCTGGAAAAAGTCATCCAGTAGTGGCCAGAGAAAACGAGGGGGAACATCACAAGGGGAACATGCAGCAGGGGCTGCAGCTTGAAATGACAGCAGCTTGCAATGATAGAGAGAAGTTGTTTCCAGTAAGAACAGAACATGCCCACCGAATCAGCAACAGAAGATCACTGGGAAGCATGGAAGGGTAGCTTCAGTGCAGAGGACGGGGTGGGAGCCCCATAGTGGAGGAAGACGGAGTGGGAGGAAAAGGGATGGGGAACAGACATAGGGTAGCAGCTAAGGAGAGTTCATTCATTCGTCCACCCTACCAAGCATGTTCTGTTCTTACTGGAAACTTCTCTCTATCAGGAAACCAAGGGGCCCCTGGTATACCAGGTACCACACTGGGCCCTGGGACACAGCAGTGGGAAAACAGGCAGAGCTCCCAGCCCTCATGGTATGTGCTTTCTAGGGAGGTATAATCTGGAGGGAGGGTTCCTCTTTAAAGACAGTTATTAGAATGATCATCTTTCTTTTTTTTTTTTTTGAGTTGGAGTCTCACTCTGACACCCAGACTGCAGTGCAGTGGCCACTCCCGGCCACCGCAGCCTCGACTTGCTGGGCTCTGGTGATCCTTCTGCCTCAGCCTTCCGAGTAGCTGGAATTATAGGCACATGCTACCATGCCCGGCTAATTTTTTGATTTTATTGTAGAGATGAGGTCTCGCCTGCCCAGGCGGGTCTCAAACCTGCGGGCTCAGGAAATCCACTCACCTCAGCCTCCCAACGGCGCGGGATTACAGGCTGAGCCACCGAGCCTGGCTAGAATGATCATCTTTCGACAGGTGAAGAAACTGAGAGACGTGAGAAGGTAACGCCCAAGTTCACACAAATGTTGCAGGCCAAGCCTTGACCTGCCTGACTCTGTCCTTTCTGTGTTGCCTGAAGGGCATGGAGCTTAGGTGGGAAGAGGTAACACAGGAGGCATAATAGGGTGAGGAAGAACATAGGCATGAGGTCCAGAGTTACTCTGCCTGGGTGCACCCTCCAGAGCTAGGCTTTCACTCCACCCCATACTCTCTTGCTCTTATTGGGTTTTATCTAAGACCTGCTGTGTTGGGCATCATGTCTGGGCTCAGGCCCTTCCAATGGGGATGGCAGGCACAGGGGTGGACTGCGGTAGCCCCCTAACTCCTCCCACACCCAAGTCCCTTATCCAGGAGTAGGATGCCCCTTTTCTGTGGGGTCCTGACGCATATGGTTTGGGGCTAAACTGTCTCCACGTCCTTTCGCCGGGGCTGGGCATATCAACCAAGATGCAATACAGGAGATGCTGGAAAAGAAGGTCTCATGCCTTTGGGATGGTGAGCTGAGGGACCAGGGTGGGCCCCCAATGCCATTTTGACTATCTGAAGAAAACACCAAGTGGAGATGAACCGAGCCGAGAGATGAAAAGAGAGAGAGTTCCAATGATATCCTATGGGCTCCTGGACCCAATCCGCCTGAATCCGTCAGCTGTGCTGATCTCTTGAACAAATGAATTCTCTTCTATCCCTCATTTGATGCTTGCAATTGAACACACCTGACCGATGCAGTTTGTCAGGATGTCAATAAAATATATTGTTTACTTTTGCAGAAGTTAACAGATACTGAGGGCGTCTTCCTGGGAGCCACATGTGTTTGTCACTTTGTAGGTGCCAGCTCTGCGTGTAGTAAGGAGATGAGGGAGATGTGAGCGTCCTGCATGGCTGGGTGTATCCACTGTGAACCAAAATACTGTTTCTCATCCCTTTCCCATTCCAGCATGGGTGTGGCCCAGCTTGACCACCACGGGAAGACCTATGACCTGTGAAATGCATCCAGTTCTCTTAAGCCACAGTCCTAGAGATCGACCAGCTAGCCATCCCAGGTGGGTTTGGCAGGTGTGGACTGACCTGGAGAGACATTCCAGGCAACCGGCGTTCTGGGGAAGGTGTGTTTGTCAGGGGTAGGGGGAGGAGATGTATTATGAATACTTTAAAACACTCTGTTCCAGGCGCCTGTGCAAGACGAGGGTGGTGGGGGACAGAGGGAGAGGGGAACAGATAGTCTGGGGCAACTGGGGTGTATCCACTGTGAGCCGAAATACTGTTTCTCATACCTTTCCCATTCCAGCGTGGGCATGTCCCAGCTTGACCACCACGGGAAAGTGTGGGGCTGTGACCTGAAAGAGACAAAAGGAAGTCACTCATAGCATCTTGGGGCATTGCTGTGAGGGTTGCTGCCAGGGCTCTGGGCGTTGCCTGTTCTGTAGAAATATCCCTTCAATTGATATTGTCAGGAATCCCCACAAACACACTTTGACTGGTGGTCATCCTATCATGGCTCAAACACCCCAAATGTCAGTGTTACTGGCTTCCAAAGGAAGCTATGAGCTCTTCAGACCAGCTAGTTTGGGGCATCCACCCATCTGCAGAGAGCAGAGTGGTGCAAGCCCACTGGTTTCAAAACCTGGCTCTACCCTGTGCAACCTCAGAAGAACCATTGCTTGATCTGTACCTATTTTTGCATCTGTCAAAGGGGGATAAAAATAATCGTTTCCACCAATGGGGTTTCTGTGAGGATTAAGTGAGTTATTACATGTGTAGCACTCAGTGAATGGCAGCTTCATTATTCCTGGCACGATTCTGTCTAACATTATTCTTTCCAACAACACTTCAACTATCTAGTGGCTCTCATGGCTTCTCCAAGTCTCTCCAGGCCACCACGTGAGGGTTCTTAGTAACAGTGGTCATGGCTTCCACCATCCCAAGCATTTGTGGACTGCACCCTGTCGGGCTCTGTGCTGAGCGACTGTCCTGTGCCATGAGAGAACCACAGGTGGGGAGGGCAGCAGCCTTGCTTGGGTGATTCTCTGTTGCATGTCCAGTTCCTAGAACGCGTCCTGGGCCAGGAAAGGTGCTCGGTGCTGAATCTGGGCTTCCTTTGGCCTCTCAGCGAGACCCAGGGGGTGTGCAACTCTCTTCCTATGTCACAGGTGAGGAGAGCGGGCTTGAGAGACCCATACCTAACGTCAGGTAGCCGGGAAGCCAGGATTGAAACCCGAGCTTTGCTTCCCTCCTCCACGCTGTGTGTATGTTGTCTGAGATGCACTTGCTTGGTTCCTAGAAGGATATCTCGAGTTGCTTGAGGACAAAGGTTATCCCTCCTAGTTATGGAGTAATGATATCATTCCCTTCCATTTGGACCCAGCCGGGGGCCAATCTTACCCTCCTGGACTGTTTGCTGACACTGCTGTCTGTTCTCTTATGCAGTGGGCACCCGGAGACACCCAGCCCTGCCCTCTTGATGCCTCATGCCTGGTCTGTCATGCAGCAGCGGCTGTGTCATGTCAGAAGTGCTGGCTGTGGATCACAGAGCCGTTCCGTGGCCCTTGTCTCACTTTCCCCCCCACAATGGCTCCATAAGCCAACCAAGGAAGGTATTTTTAATTACCATGCTGCAGTTAAGAAAATTGAGACTCAGGTCAGCTGCTGAAAAGGGGTGAGGCTGGGACTTGAACGTCGGTCTGTCAGACTCCAAGCTTTATGTGGATAGTTTCCTTGGAGGTCTAGCACAAGGGTGGCTTTCAGTAGACTCTAAAATTTTACTTTTCCTGGATTTAGGCTAAAATTTACCATATCCTAATGTCTAGGCTATCCTGATGTCTATGGGTAAATAAATACATGCTAAAAAAAAAAAAGCAATACAGTAAGTCCTCTATGTATGAACCTTCAAGTTATGAACTTTAGCAATGCACGCCTGCTTTCTTTCCACCAGATGTCACTATAGCCTGTTAAATACTTGTAGTAATATACAGCCAACAGTGTTAGTTGGGTACCTAGGCTACCTCTGTTGGACTTAAACAAATTGGACTTACACATGTGCTCTTGGAATGGAACTTGTCTGTATGTTGAGGACTTCCTGTATTTGCCGTTAACTTCAAGAGCAAAATGTACTTACTATAAAAAATTTGGAAAATAAAATATTAAGCATAAAGAAGACAACAAAAATCATCCTCAGACTTCTAATGGGTTTGGTCCTTATCTTCCGGTCTTTAAAAATATCTATATTTGTTTTTCTCTTGATTTGTTCTGTTTTTACAAAATCGGGAGTATAGGGCATGTCCACCTTTGCTTCCTGTTGTTCTCACCGAATATCATCTTGTGATAATGCTCCTGGTGGTTATGTTTTGTGAGTTTAATAGGCAGAATGAAATATTTCACATATGAAAAAGCTTTATAGGGAAACACTGTGGGTAGTGTCTTGCTTGAGAAACAAAACATCGTCCAGACTGGTGAAGCCCCAAGGTACCTGTTTTTGATCACACTCGCTTCCCCGTCCCCTGACCCATCCCAGACCTGCTTACTGTTCCTGGCCCTGTCCTTCCATTGTATAGCCTATCTGCCCGTCAAACCAGACCCTAAGCCCTTTGAAGGAGAGGTCTCGTTTCAGCGTTCTGTATATTCTCCAGTGCAAAACCCAGAGCTAGCCACATAGTTCTCATTCAATTCATGCCCACTGAATTTATTTGGTTTCATATTATTTTATTGTTCACTGTCATTAAAGGAAAGTATTTAATATACCCCAGACAGGCATGTGATTCCTGGAGACGTGTGTTTTGGTTGAGAAGGTGCTTGACTGAGAGTCAGAATACATGAGCTTGACTCCTGGTTCTGCCATGAAAACGATCGCTTCCCTCTTTGGGGTTTGGTTCCTACGTGGACATGTGTATTTGTTTTGACCGCTGCCCTACCAAATCACCACAAACGGCTCTTTTAAGAGCATCCCCTTGGCAGTGTGCAGTGGCTCATGCCTATAAGCCCAACACTTTGGAAAGCTGAGGTGGGAGGATCACTTGAGCCCAGGAGTTTAAGACCAGCCTGGGCAACATAGCAAGACCTCATCGCTACAAAAAAATAAAAAAAAAATTGGCCAGGTGTGATAGTGTGCGCCTGTAGCCCTGCTACTTAGGAAGCTGAGGTAGAAGACTGCCTGAACCCAGGAAGGAGGTTGAGGCTGCAGTGAGCTGTGATTGTGCCACTGCACTCCAGCCTGGATGACAGAGTGAGACCCTGACTCAAAAACAAAAACAAAAGCGAAAAAGAGCACCCTCATTGTCTTATTATGTATCATCCAATTAAAAATTGCAAGATCTCCTACAATAATAGTAGAGACAGAATTTTTCTATTTTTGCCACAGATTTTTTTTTCCTTACAACACTCCCATCCCCTTCCCCAGACCAGGTAACTAAGCTCCCCGGCCTGGTGTGTCTGGGGCGTTACTCCCACCACTCATACGGTGTAACTTTTCAAAACACGTATGTACCCATCTGAGACTGATGCTTGTTGTTTCAAAACTAGCTCTTATCGCTTAACATCAAGGGTCCCCACCCCTCTTCCATGTCAACAAATACAGCCCTAACTGAAGAGCTTTAACAGCGGCACCCCCCACCCATGTGTGCGTTCGCTGCAATTCTTCAGCTATTTTCCCATGAATGGACAAGTGCGTTATTTATTCTTGCTCATGCTCACGCTCTCTGCAAGCAAGAGTTCAGTGAGCACCTTTGTACACATGTCCTTATGACCTCGTGTTTTAGTTCCTAGAGGCTGGGCCTCCAGTTTTTCAAAGGGAGAAGCAGCAGAATTTGGAGACCTTCTTTAGGTTTCTAACGTCAGTCGTTGGCGCTGGAGAAATTCAAGTGGGGGCCACGGTGTTGCACACTGAGTGAGTCCCCCCACTGTGTCACCTCCAGGTCAATAGCAAACCACATATACTGAGTGTCAGGACCAGAAGCAGGACCGGGCACGTTATGCATGTCAGCATCCTCTCTGTCCCCCACACCCGAGATTGGAAAACTGAGGCAAGGGCTGGCAGGGAAGAAGGGTGGGGCTGCTTGGCACCACCCCAGTCCCTTCCCCGGTGCCCCCTCCCTTCCCAAGCGGTTCAAGTGGCATTCGGAGGCCATGCCCATTTCCACTCTGTCGCAACATACCGGCCCCTCCCCAAACACTCACGGAGGACAAAAAACTAGTCTTGTCGGCTATTTTCTCTCTTCCCCTCCCAACAATAGCTTTCTTAATTCCCCTGGGGATGTTGAGGTCTGCACCAGCCTCTCACAGGCTCCCTGACCCCCCTCACATACCCCTGAGCACACCAGAGTTCAAGCACTGCCCGTTGGAGGGACAGGCCTGACATCCTGTGAGAAGGGGCAGATCCATTTTTGAAAACAGAGATCCCCACCCTGATAAGTACCCAAAGAAACCAAAATAAGTGGGGTGGCCCCACACTCCTGTTGGGCGCTCCCTCGGGAGGCTTAGGGTCAGAGCAATGTCAGCTCAGATCAGCCTTGAAACAATCCCGGAATGGGAGAGCAGGACGTCAGAGTGGTCAGGCGCTTACGGAGGCCATTCTGCTTACGTTCTTGACTGGAGATTTAAATCTGTACAGTGTCCGGTCCCGGATGAGGGACAGAAAAGGCAAGGCTGAGAAGAATCTGGAGGAGGAAGTCAAGGACTGAAGAAATCTGGGAAGACTTCCAGGAGGAGCTGGGCCTCCATCTGTGCTGGATCTAGCTCTTACCCACCTCTTCTGTTTCATCTTGTGTGCCTCCCCCTCCCCACCCCAACCTCTCCCTGCCAGTTACATTCCAAACCCCTGGGTTCAGTTTTCTACTAAGGGAGCCAGGTTCCCTGCCCCCACGCCCTGCCACAGGGCCTTTGCACTTTCTGCTGCTCCCTTTCCCTGAAACACCCTTCCTTACACATTTTCCTAGGCCAATCCCTTCTCATACATCATGTCTCAGTTGACATGCTCTGTTCCTGGAGCGCCCTCCCTGGCTACTGGCCTAAAGCAGGTGCTTCCTGTTATCCTGTCTGTCTCACCCTGAACTCTCCCTTTGTAGCTACGCTAGCTGCCACATGCAGTTACGTACTCATTTCTTTATTGTCCGTCTCCCTGGAGGTGCTCTGTGGGCAGGAGCCCTTGCTGGCTTTGTTTCCCACGCTATTTCTAGACTCCACACAAGGCCCAGCATGCGGCGGATGCTCTGTAGGAAGCATGTTGTTGAATGGGTGTTGGTCAAAGCCTCCATGACAGGTGGGGATGTCATGTTCCAGCAGGTGGAGTCAGGAACAAGGAGGACTTTTTAGGGGACAAGGAGTTGATGAGGCTCATCTAA